TTAGTTACATTTGTCAAGTTAGAAGTTAGCATAAATGCTTGTCAGTTTCAGTACTGAACTTATCATTTACTACCAGGTTTTATTGAATGCCAGAAATGTGTTACTTTCTGTCTATGAAGTATTCTCTTGTATCATACCGAATGCCAACAAAAGTGATCGTACTAAGTATGCTGTTTGTCTTAACAAAAAACTATTGTTCATCTGTAATGTTTCCTTATGTACTTACAATTAGAAAAATTGATTTACATAGAAAACAATCAGGAATTTTTGAAATACATCACTAATATATGATCATTATACTTTTTTACTGTTCCGCCAAATGTCACCCTCACACAACTAAATAGTGAGAAATCCTATACCAAGTGGTAAGATTGGAAAAATAATCCTGAACACTGAGGTTTACATAAACACACAAACTTTTTACGATTTACCGTTCGAGAACAGTTTACTAGGTGTTAGTGATCAAATTTAACTGCTTATTATCTTACAGTACCACGGGATAAATCCACCACCTTGAACTTCTACGAATCGATTTCGGTGTTGATAGAACATGTTTTATATAGAGAATACTAAAATGTGACGTGAAAATATATTCAGTCTAACGAAACCAATGTCGTTTCATGAGCATAATGACCACCGTGGCACTCAAATGAAAGCAGTTGGAATCCGTACTCACTGCATGCGTTGTAATCGGTCACACGGCAACAACGATTATGAAAAAGGAGTTTGCACAAGTTGTGCATAAACTGAAGGGAAAGTAACATATGAGAAGAGAGAAGAATTAGCTCATAAAAGTTTCATATTTCAATAGTACAAGAGCGAAACATTCAAATTCACAAATTTGGGCAAACAGATACATCCAGTTTCCAGAACATTATCCAAAGAGACTGAATAAAAAGTTGTATAATTAGCACGTTTTGCATCACATTCAGATAGCATTTTCAGCAAAACCATCGTCATCAGCGATTGTGTTACAAAAATCTGTGGAAATTAGTTTGAAAGAGATAGATGAAAATATGTTGCGGTCTACGATTCTGACACAAACATTTATATCTGAAACGCTTTTCATTTCCTGCTCCAGAGTGCGGAGGCTGAAACTGTTTGTAGCAGTTTACTTGGACGAGTTACTGGCAAATCTGATGCAGAAAAATATAATTAATTTATCGATATGTCTTATAAGTTAGTGTATCTAGAAGTGACTGAAGATTGAGGTTTAGCTGATAAAATTTCGGCCGAAACAGAATTTTTTTAACTTTAAGACAGGTTTCTTCCTCATGCATAGAGATCAGTTCACATGGCGAAATGGAGGAAATTACTGCTGTTGTGAGAAGTACTTATGAAAATGCATATAATCAGTATATACGCCAAAGTCGAAAATGATGAATATCGATTATGGGAAGTCTCGTACAAAGTACATTCAATGTTGAGTGGAAACAGGAGCCCAAGCACTGTGCAGAACAACGTGTAGAACAAGGGATAATTTACAAATTGATGAATTAATCTTAGGTATCATAATTTTGCCTTCCTCAGTTGCATTTAATTCGTATATGAATAGCGTAATTCATCTACTTATTAGACTTTTCTTTACTGAGAAAAATCTTGTGTTTTTCAGTTTGTCATTCAGTATTTAATATATTTTCGGCTTCTTTTAAACGACGAGGTATATGCTTGAATTCTTGAAATCAGAAAGGTTGTAACTAACGCAGTAATATATTATGAATATTGAAACTTTTTCAGACACTTTACCGATTGTTTAGTTAAAATACAGCGTATCACCTGAAGGTCAAATCTCCGCTGTAAAGAAGGTAATCTGCATTTTTAGATGTTTCACGCCTGAGTTTCGTTGCATAAAAATGCATATTTACAATATATCAGCTTTCTAAGAGACGGTCTTTTTCACACAGCGCATTACTGCTGCATTATCAGACAGTTTACGATGTCAACTAAATGGGCTACTGGTGAGGAAAATAGATAAACTGAATAAGATGCTCGTAGTTTTTCCATTAGTTGTTGATACATGTAATTCCTCATTGTAACGCTGGATCCACTTGATGGACCTCTGTTGGCAAATGGGCTCAAATGTAGGTGAATTGACAGTGCCCGAGTATTCAATGTTTCACTGATTAGTCCTGAGTAGGCTAAAAGTCACATCCTGGATCCTAATGCTAGTCACCGCCAAGCAAGTTACAAGGATGTTCATAATGGTCATCTCACATGCTTGAATCGAGATCGTCAAAAAATAGCAAGAAACTAACTCGTTACAAATTCTATTGAAAGCAAGCCATATCTACCATATTTGTCATTTGTGCGTCTTTTGGAAACAATAACAAGGTTTAGTCTTTACACTCAGTTCAATTTATAATCAGATTAAAAGTCAACTTGGTAATAACCGAAATTGCTACTAGTTTTCTGCGTGTAATAACGACTTTTGCATCATCAGTTTGAAAATCATTTCACTGCAGAAAATGGTAGGTTCTTAATACAAGCAGACTATTGAGGAGGAAATTGACGAAGGTCGGCTTGGTATTTTTTCAAACCTCAGGGAATTTGTTAGGTAATATATAAGTTGTTGTGATTGGTGCCTGATGAAAGGGCATCATGTTAGGCTGACACCCGCATAAAACTTTTTTATCAATAGGTCAACGACCTTCCACATGTTCTAAGTGGGTTATTTACGTGTGCTTAGATGTTATACTAATGCAATCAGGTCCAAAGTTAGTTGTTTGTCATAATCACCTGCTTTAGAGGCGTTCAGGGCTGGTTCACTTCTAACTATGACCTGAAGAAACGTAGACTGGGGTCACGGCAAGGCTTTGGTTATCGTACAGTTATTCTTACTTCTAACAAGTGTACACCGCAAGTGGTGTATAGACAGTTTTAACTGTCCGTTATGAGTGATGCGGAAAATGTCGGGTACCAGTTCTACATGACCTTTGGATTACTCTTCTGAATTTGTTTTGATCAAGTAAAACAGTATGGTTTCAAATCTACTAGGTGATATGTTTAGCAAGGAAAGACTTGCTTACATTTCTCAATCGTTTAATCGCCAGAAGAAATAAACGTATTAAAAAATTAAATAGACTAATCAGCAGCTGAGATAACGACTGTAGAAAGCAACCATAGCGCACAGCATGCATAACGGGTCACAGTTTCTGTTATGTAATATTCATGATTGGTGGCCATAAAATTATGAAATGTAAACAAAATATCACTACACCCCGTGATATCGTGGTTTAAAACTAAATCCTGCATTAGGACAAGGAACAAAGATTTCAACAAGGAATATTTGTTTTTTGATGAAATCGTGAAGGAAATTGGTATGAGTGAGGATAATGTTTCACGAATCATGAAACCAACTGGAAAAAAGCAGACGAAAGGTCAAAGACTCAAGGTAGGGGGCGAGTATGTGAATGAATATGATATGATTTCATTGGAAAGTAGTAGGGTGGAGATTATGTAAAACAAGAAATATGAAGCCCAGTCAGGAGAAATGTGATATGACGGGGATAAAATGCACTAAAGTGGCGTAAAATAAAAATAAGGAGGGGGATAATTGAATTAAACATATAATTAGAGTGGTAAGCTAGATCCAGAAAAGAAAAAAAACAACACAAACAATTTCTGCGCACTTCGTTCCGTTTTGAGGTCACGTATTGGCAAGTATTCTGCGAAAAAAGTCAGTCGTATGTATGCATTTTCTGACAAATTGAATTTGGCCATATAAATTACATCAAACTATGATTCTCAGACTGCATGATTGTAGTCAACTACATGTTGGAGGAGTGATAAATCTAAGAATATATGCTTCTGCTTAGCCATACTGGGAGGTGCTCTCGAATGCGACGAAAAATGTTTTGTTGTTGTTGAATGGTCAACGTGTTCGGCGTGAAACCTGAAGGTCTTGGGTGCCATCACTGGTAGAATTGTGGGAGCATACTTCTGAGGATTTTCATACTACGATAAAACAACTGTCCAGAGTTCCTTGGTTTCCAGTGGTTTTCTAAATGATGTCAATCCTTGATAAGTACTATCGTAAAAATATAAAAAATAAACTATAAACAGAGATGCAGAATATCTGACTAAGACAACGGTAAGGAGATTGTTTGTTCATGCGTTTCGAATGCAGAAGTGAAGTGCACAGACGTAAACTACCGAAGCTTCAGCTGCACATAAGTGTCCAATCCTTACTCATATTCAACGGCTTGGTCAAACTTTAGGAGGACTCTGGACGAGGTTTCCAGAGGTGTCAGATGTTCAGAGCCTACAGTGTACTCAACGATGGGGTTGGATACAGTATTGTGCGCACATTTCAGCAACTCAGTTAGGAAATATTTTCTACTGCTTTCTTCAGGTGAGCACATAAAAAGCAAGTGAACTTGTTAATATACACTGATGAGGCACAGTGTAGCAGCTTGTCTTTCATGCGCTGACGAATCAGCCGTTCGCATGAGAAAGTAATACGGAGGTTTACAGCGTAGAATATTCTATTCAGAAACTTTTGTTCATATTTTGATTCGTCTGATAATTAACATACTAATAATTTGACACTGCCAATGCAAAGCCATCCCAGATAGTCACATTGATAATAAATATACTACCATCGGGTGTGGACCACAGCCCTTGTGGGGATTAAGAAGCGATATCTCAAAGGTGTATTATGAATTCGCAGAGATATTGTTTTCAATAAACTGCACGAGTAGTATTCAAATGGATGCTAATCGGCCGAATGTTTCAATTCACCTCTTCTGTTTTAATTATGTATGATGCTTGTCTATCATGAGATAATAACGTGATTCTAAAATTTTGTTTAAGAACTTCAAGGCAAATTTTCTATTGTCGCGAAAACTACCTAGTGTTCTGAGTCTTCATGTACTGTTGGCGTGCCAAATTATTTTGCAACGTAGGTAATTGTTTTCGTTTATGCATGAGTGCACCTCTTAATAATAGCTTACAACATAACAATTTCTTGCATCTTGTTTACTGGTATGATTTTATTTCAGATATTCACATCAATTTCAGTGACTCTGGACTATACAGAGAGTATCACATGGAACTTACCAGTAAGTCACTTTTCATTGATGTACTTTTATATTTAGGAAATTTTGGTTTTGGAATAGTTTTTTTTAGGAAATATTTCGCTACCCGTACAGTTTATGTGTTCGTAGTTCTTAAATGAAAAAGATAATTTTGATGAAAAACATCGGTTCAAATGGACTTCAACCTTTCGATATTCTTAGCGTTGTGATAGAGGAAATATCAAGGCAAATAACTGTTTATTACGAAGGGGAAAACTTAAGCCACCTATACGACAAACACAATAAACAGTGCAAGATGTGAAATTATTATAAAGATTGCACATAACTTCCATCACATTTCTTCATTCGTGGAGATAATTTATTTAATACACTTAGAAGATTACGGGAAGTACGAAGATAATTCATCACTTTGAAAATACTTATCTTAAATTCAATGAGTTGAAAATATGGTGAATATTCTAACAAGGAGGATTTCTTTTTATTAATCGTTCTTCGATGTGGTAGCAGTGTTTCACCGATTTGAAGGCCGGTCTTAATTCTGCTACTGCTGGGCTGCGATAATTTTACATATGTTGGCTGTTTTTAATGGAGTTCGTAAGTTCTCATAATTTGCCATATCCTACCAATGCTGAATAGTCTTGGTCAGGGTTTAAGGGAAAAGATGTTTTCAAACGTGTATTCACTGCATTAATTCTGTCTCTTTAATGTATTACTTAAGGAGTCATAAGTTAAATTTATATATATATATATATATATTTTTGCAGTAATGACTGTCATGGTTTGGCAGACTAGTGTTGATAATTGGGTGAAGAATGAAAGTAAAATGAAAAATTGGAACACAGCAGGGTTCGAACCAGCGACCACCACGTAGTCAAAATTGTATTCAAGATAATGTTCACCCTTTCTATTCAGTTATATTTCAATTTTTAAACTTTATGCTGGGGGGACACCGTCAGCTAAGGTTATTCCACTCCAACTGAAGTGCAACAGACAATTCGAATGTTCCAGCTTCAAAACTTACCAAATCATTTTCTAATATTTTGAAGAAGGATCGAAAGAACTATACTGTCGACAGAATGATGAAACACCAGTGAAGTAATTTCATCTATCACTTTAACGTTTAGGGTGAAAACACAGCTACAGTAGGATTTAAATTAAATCTGTACCGTAATAATAACAGAATATTTTATTGACTTAAGAAATACAAAAAATAAGAAGGAAAACTCTTTGAGTGCTTTGGAGATGTTTACCTGACTTAAATTTTACGTATACGAGCCAAAATATTTCTTCACATGTTCTTAGCACTACTAACTTTACTGGTACAATGCTATCAAGAAATGTACAATTACAAGATGCAGGTGACATTAGTCAAGAAAGAAAGTATGGGCTACATATTTCAAAAAACTGCAAAAAATCGTATGTCATTGACAAACAGTACAAACAAACAAAGAAACATGCACTTAGAGTGTCAGCATCAAATAAGAAGATGCAAACAGCATACAATGCCATCAAGAGCATTTTTAAAACTTAAATGGATATACACTTATGTGCCACCTACATCATAACCAACAAGCATTTAGTCAAGAGTATGGTAGCATGAAAGTGTTTCTGAAAAGTTCCTAATATCTTTAGACTATTTTCTACACAATTTTTATCATTCTTTCTTTCAGATCAACAAACTGTGAAGATTGTAGCTGCAAAAAATGTAGTTGTTGAAAATCTGCTGACAACAAATGATATTTATGATTCTAGGATAGTCAATGGAAATGATTCCATCTTAAAATTTCATTTCGTAAGTGTAAAGTTTTGGGCATTTGTTTAATAATTAATATCATTTTCAGCTTACCAGGAGAACTCTTGGAATGTTTGGCATAAAGATACTCCTGCTTAGGTATCTCTGAAGATAACAACACTGATCAACCAAAAATATTTCAATCATTAATCTTGATCATCCCTTTAAGGTTTTAAAGTTCTGGCATACAGTTATCTTATATACGTTTAGACCGACTAAACATTTCGCAGAGAAATGGTTTAATGAGTTGGGTATTTATCGCTGTAGGAAACAGTTTCAACGATAATGTGATTGTAGGTGGTTTCACTGAGGTTTACCAGTTTCGTAAATGATGAGGACATTTCATGAATTCGAGAAAAATGGAAGTTCAGTTACCAGTAATTCCATTTTCTATAGCTGTACATTATTAATTAATACATTTTTTGTTTAACTATGATTGAACAATTACAATAACTTTGTTAATTCGTGATGACTTTAAAAATATACTTTAAAAACACATTTTCTTTCCTTTCCTAGTCGCAGTGTAACACATTGATTATTAGGCATTATGCGTCAGTATGTAAGAAAAAATGATATCATTTTCAACTTGTTCATAATATTGCTTGCGTGTCAACAATAAGCAAAGTAGGCAATCAAAAACCTGCTGATATACACAGTCTTAGGAATAATGCTCTATGTCTGTTTTACTTAACCAACCACTAGTCACTGTCGTGATGTTAAATAAAAGGATATTTTCAAAGTTAACTACCATGCTTATTTTCGACATTAAAGATTATTACAAAAAAACCTTGAATTTTTATATTAACGATATGAGTAGAATCTGTACTCTAGCATTTACGATAATGCATACTTCAGTGGTGCTAGACAGCACTAATAACCTGCTTATAACCGTTCTCAAATTGTGGAAATAAAGACAGGCAAGAAAACATTAATCTGGCAGATTTAGTGGACTTAAATCCTGCGCTTTCCGTTCGAGTTCAATTTCTCATTATCCTACGAAACACATTTTAAGAGTCAATTGAAAAAAATAGGTATCTTTGCAAAACCTATCCATTGAGTGTGTTGGACTCCCATAATCTTTGCCGGCTGTCTTTAGAAACTATTTAACAACACAACAAAACTGGTATTAAAAAAAATTCCAAAAAAAGAAGTAAAGCCAGATTAAGGTGATTATACTGTGGTAAACTAAGCTTACATTATTGCCTTCTATTTCATTCTCAGCTAAACGATTTAAATAACTTTCGTGACCTTCCTTATTTTATGCAACTATCATGATTTATTAATTAAATGCATTGCAATATTCACAAATTAACTTACGCGAGGACTGCGAATCTATTCATTCTAAAAAACGCACAGTATAAAATGGCAGTCAACTCTCTACATGAATTTCATCAACTTTCAAAAGGCCTTCAACAACGTCAACCGACAAGTAATTTGGCAGTTACTTCAACACTACAGAGTACCACAAACCTTTATCTACCTCATTCAACAGCTATATATGAAAACGCCATATGCCGAGTGATCCACAATGGGAAGCTCAGTGACGCCTTCCAGGTGAAGACAGAAGTTAAACAAGACTGCCACCTACTCTCACCCACAATCTTCCTGATTGTGGTCGACCGAATCATGCAGCAAACCGTGAGGAGCTGTGAGAAGATGTGCATACACTGTCTGACCGATGAAAAGACCCTTGAGGATTTGGATTTCGCCACCAATGATTTATATCTGATGTCGCACAAACTCGAAGATCTACGGGCAAAAGCCGACAAGTTGAGAGCAGAGTCAGCGAGAACGCGACTTCAAGTGAATGTGGAGAAGACGGAGGTGATGTAGATACCCAAGGAGTAACAGTATCAACGAGAAGCACCAATCGCCATCAACAGGGAATACCTAAAGGAAGTTGCCTCTTTCACCTACCTACCTACCTACCTACCTACCTACCTACCTACCTACCTACCTACCTACCTACCTACCTACCTACCTACCTACCTACCTACCTACCTACCTACCTACCTACCTACCTACCTACCTACCTACCTACCTACCTACATACATACATACATACATACCTACCTACCTACCTACCTACCTACCCACCTACCTACCTACCTACCTACCTACCTACCCACCTACGAACCTACACACCCACCTACCTATCTACCTACATACCTAGACAGCATCCTTTCAACTACAACAGGCACAAGCACAGATGAAGATGTGGAAGCAACCACGGTCGGGAAAGCAGCAAGACAGACCTTCCTGCATTAATCTGAAATGAGTGTGCAGATCTACTCCACTCCACTCCACTCCACTACACTGCACTCAGCATAAAGCGTGAACAAGATCCAAATTCTCAACACACATTCAGTCAAGTAAGTCAGTGCTTCTATGTGATGGATGAGAGACTTGGCGTGTTACGAAAGCACTCCCAACAAACCACAGACATTGATCAACAGCTGTCGCCTACGCTCACTCGACATTGACACTGAAGATCAGATGGACTGCCAGAATAATAAGAATGAGCAACAAGGAACTCACTGTGGCTGGCTGGTTGGCTGGCTGGCAACGAACCAACCAAGAACCCATCGTTGAACAAGTATGCAGAGGGAAGTGGAGATGTATTTGGCATGCACTGAGAAGACCGATTGCGGCCATCACTCGCCAGTCCAGATCCTCATGTGGAATGCGAGGGGGAAACGACTAGTTGGGCGTCTTTGCCGAGGGTGATATGGAGGAGATTGTGTGAGGATGAAGTGAGAGCTTGTTGGCATTCGTGGGGTCAGGTTCTGAAGTCTGGAGAGAACAGAGTGCTACTGTGCTACTGAAGCCCTGTGTTCTACCAGGAACCCAAATGACAAATAATAATAATAATAGTATACTTGAAATGGTGATAGTTTGATACTGAAAGCTTGTGATAAAATTGACAAATTTGAAGCCAGCATCTCTTATCAATGAGCGCTATGCACTTGAAGCAAATTTCAACGAAGTCAATTTGCGTAAGTTGACCAGTTGCCATTATCCTTAGAAACCTATTTAAAAGCCTTATAACCCTTGTATGACTATGACTAAGTAACTCTTAAGTGTTCTTAAACTTATGAAATGTTTTATGCATACAAGGAATGACTAATTTGAATAGTGGTATCCTAAATAATGCTTTCGGGGTACTGGATGATGGTGTAATGATGACGAATATTCCATTTTAGTCAAGTATTTTATAAGTGGAAAGAGAGAGTTTCATAGATCTGCCAGGTTTTATGCTCATCTGGCGTTGTTTTACGTTAAGTTTGTGGTAACTAACGTGTCCAGTAGTCAGACAAATGGCAATACTTGTACAAATATTACCAAAGATAATGATTCGTGAAGACGTATCCATCGTGCAGTGGATTATTTGTTCATTTGTTGAATTAAAACTAGCTAGATGAGTGGTCCTTCATATCAGTCAGGTATTATTAATGTTCGTTGGTGCGAAACGCAAACGAATACTGAAAATGATTGACATTCCAGAGGAAGCCTGTCAAACTGCTAAGAGTATAATTTTATGAAATTCTGTAAGCGAACAAAAATCAGCTTTTTTGATCACGAAAACTTTTATGTTTATCAAGTCTGCTTGATGACAAAATTCAATCGGAAGAGGTTATATATATGCATACACCACTGTTATCTATACTGCTATCACGGACTAATTGCAGTGATTGTCTTTACGTTAGAATGAGTACATGTTTATGTGTGCGCTGAAAATCTGTGATATACTGTAACTTAAGTAATGTTGAAAATCAACGGATATTAGTAAGTAGTCTGAATGAATAACTGTAATCAGGTTCTTAATCGTATGTTTGCTCTTTCTGAATTGATCCCAGTACCTACCTTTTTAATCTGTTCCCCACTGCATATTATGATATAGGTTTTGCTTCGTTCCTTTTCCATGTGCTTGTCTGATGATGTAAGTTGTTATCTCAATACGATTGTTGAAGAATATGACTTTGGTGCTGCAACCCTCGACAACATATGCAAATCATATATCGCAGATTTGCTACTTTGTAAAAGTTGGTCCCATTGGGAATGCGAAGCGGAAACGACTAGTTTGGCTTCTGGACCGATGGTGCCGTGGATTAGATGGTGTGTATATATAGATATATAGTATCGCTGATGGCAACTATGTTCTATGAAATGTTAGACTATTTCAAAATGTCTTAGTGGCAAGAAATACTGTTAGTGATTCCTTGGTAAGTAGGTATGTAGGCACGTAGGTAGGAAGGTAGGTAGGTAGGTGAAAGAGGCAACTTCCTTTAGCTATTCCCTGTTGATGGCGATTGGTGCTTCTCGTTGATACTGTTACTCGTTGGGTATCTAAATCACCTCCGTCTTCTCCACATTCACTTGAAGTCGCGTTCTCGCTGACTCTGCTCTCAACTTGTCGGCTTTTGCCCGTAGATCTTCGAGTTTGTGCGACATCAGATATAAATCATTGGTGGCGAAATCCAAATCCTCAAGGGTCTTTTCATCGGTCAGACAGTGTATGCACATCTTCTCACAGCTCCTCACGGTTTGCTGCATGATTCGGTCGACCACAATCAGGAAGATTGTGGGTGAGAGTAGGTGGCAGTCTTGTTTAACTTCTGTCTTCACCTGGAAGGCGTCACTGAGCTTCCCATTGTGGATCACTCGGCATATGGCGTTTTCATATATAGCTGTTGAATGAGGTAGATAAAGGTTTGTGGTACTCTGTAGTGTTGAAGTAACTGCCAAATTACTTGTCGGTTGACGTTGTTGAAGGCCTTTTGAAAGTTGATGAAATTCATGTAGAGAGTTGACTGCCATTCTATGCTCTGTTAAATGATGATATGTAGCGTAGCGTGGCAATTCGATGCACACATGTTTTTCATTTGTGAATGCAGCCTGTTTCGGTCGTAATTTTGAATGCATTGCTTCTATTTAACCTCTCTAGAATAATGCGGCCTAATATTGTGCTTGAGACTACTAGGAGCATGATTCCATGCCAGTTCTTGCAAACGCTATGCTCTCGCTTCTTTGGTGGTTTTCCAAGATAGGCATTCTTCCGGTCGCCAGGTACCTTCCCTTCCCTCCAGACCTTCTGCATTAATGGTGTGTGCATGTCCGCCATTGTCTCTGGGTTTGTTTTTAGTGCTTCTGGTGATATTTCATTTGGTCCTGTTTGTTTTTCGGACTCCATCAGTTTTGCGGCATTCAGGACTTTGACTTCTGTCGGAGGGGCTTGTGTTAACTTGTATTTCTGCTCTTGTCGGTGGTATTTCTGGACGAGTTGAGGTGACGGTTGGTTCAAGAGATTTTTGAAATGGTCAGCCTATTGTCTTTCTGTTTCTTTTCTTCGGTAACAAACTTTGCTTCACTATCTTTCATTGGTGTTGTCGGCGTTGATCTCTTCCCAAATGGTAACCTGGTTATTTGATACAATGTTGCCAGGTCTCTTCTACCTGCAGCTTGTTCTGCTTCGCTTAGCAATGTGTCGTAGAAATGTCTTATGTCTTCGCTCGCACACTTCTTCACTTCTTTGTCCAGAGTTATATAGGTTGTAGTCAGCTCTTCTTTTTGTAATGCATGCTTGCACGGGTTCATCTTCTGCTTCAACATCGCCGTCTTCCTCTCCCTCCTCTATTTGCTTCCATATGTCCCTCGAGATCCATTCTTTGTCTTACCTCTTCTCCTTTCCTAATGCGGCTGTGCAGGATTCCTTCCACATCCCTTTCAAAGAGTTCCAGTGTTCACCCACACCTGATCCTTCACATATGTTGCTCAATGTCTCCTATTTTGTTCTGATGGCTGAAGTGAAGATGTCCTTTGTAGTTTCGTGGTTCAGTTTCTGTTTTGGGTGCTGAACTTGAACTGGGATCTATCACCAACTTCTTCGAAGACTTTCAACTTGATTTCGAAGGTTCCTTGCACTAGATGTTGAGTGGTGTGAACCTACATCTGCTCCCCTTCTTCATCTTGTGTCCAGCAGATTGTCTCCACTTTCTTCACATTGAAATGAAGTCGATTTGACTTTTGGTGTGTCCCGGTGTCTGGTGAACTCAAACCTATGTCACTGCCTTGTGAATATCCTTGTGTTACTACATACTGCCTCCAAGTATCAAATCGTTGAATGCATAGAAGGCTGCAAACAGCTTTGCATTCTCGTTCATTTCACCGAGTGCCTCTCGACCTATTATTCCATCTCTTCCTGTATTTTCCGCTCCGGATTTAGCGTTAATGACCCCATCCGTTAGAATTTTGATGCCGTCAACTCCAGTCCTGTCTAGTACTGTTTGCAGTTGTCTGTAGAATTCGTCCATCTCTTGGTCCGCATTATTTTTTGGCGCGTAGTGTAGCATTGTATGATTGTGACCTTTCTTCCATTTGAGTTGATTCTTGCTGTCATCAGCTTGCAGGAGGAGCCTGGTTCCCACTCTATGAGAGCCTTCCATGTTCTTGGAGACATTGTGATAGACACCTGAAAACTCAGTATCTTCGTGGTTGTCGTCTGGGTGACCGGAGTAGATTATTGACTCTCCAGTTAAAAGTTTGGAGGGTCCACTTCTATTTCATCTGCTTTATCAGATTTCGAGCACTTCAATGCCTTACTTCCTCATCGCTTTTGGAATCTGGACAGCCTTGGTAGGTTCATTACATTTAGGAAATACCTGTTCATTATTAGTTGAGAATACTAGTTCTTGTCAACTGGAAATAAATTATCCCTAGTCGGCTGCATGTTGATGTCCATACGTGATGATTTAACTAATCATTCACATTTGTAATAATGTGGTATTCATCAGTCATGATATATTTACACGCTCTTAAGTTATTCAAAGCGATACAAAATAAACATTTACTCTGGAATTATGCTGCTCGATTTAGTAATTCAATAAGGTTATTCCTTAAAACAGTGTGCAAAATTTACTAGAGAGCTGACATAGAGCACCCGAATCGAGAATTATATCAGGTGGATATTTTGAAGCATTTTGTTGATGGACAAACATGCATGAGTTCTCGTGAGTTTCTTTTAGACTTCAGTCACAGAAGTCCCGAACACTACTTTTCGTAGTCAGAAGACAACCATCGTCTATCTTTATTCATGTTGCTGACTAAGATCCTATATCCTCCTCACGCTAAATTATATGCTCTATAATTAAATTCGCAGGCTAACTTTGATTCTTATTTTATCACATCAGTTATAACTCAGGCATGTTTACTATTACTAACTTAGTCAAGCTTAATATATTTTGCAGAGTATCCTTTCTCGGCGTATCTTTTCACTAACCTATGTAACTATGTACGCTATGTCTTTTAACAGCCCGTATCTAACACTGATTATATTTTGGAAGTTTCTCTTGCAGGATGTATATATTCAGAACAATTTGACCGACTTCGTAAACCTTATCAGATGTTTGAACTTTATTTCTCCCAACACTGTCTATTTCCATCTGTTGCACTTAATAACTGAATAGTCAGGTTTATAGATTACAACGTTTTAACTTCCGTTTCAATTATTCACTGTATTTAGAATCCAGGTTATAAGTGATTGACGATTAACCTAAAAAAAAATGAATTCTCATCATCATACTACTGAAATCTGGATCTTCTCAAGTTTAAAAACAAAAATGCTTGTCGTGCTGCTAAACATTTACTACTTTTTTCATTGTCATGCTGGGAAACTGCATAAGATCACACTGCTGAGTATAACTTCAGTGATTTGTTGAACTTGTTCATGCAACTAAGAATAAAAAGGTTTCATGAGACTTTCACCTATGTGTCTTGATGATAAAAGAAACCGATAGTCTATACAAATACTAGAATTAGTAGACAACTCAGTCAGATGGACTTCAGCATAGAAAGTATTCGAGGGCTTGAAATAATTACTTTTCTCTTATAAACGTACTTTATCACAATTGTAGGAACTTTCAGGTTAGGCGACTGTATAACTTAATGGATCGTCATAAGTGTATGATTTCCAATAGTTTTTACAAGCATTACAGTCAGAATAAAGTAGAACATTTATTGATCAAATGCGAGTATAAAAATCATTCGCTGATTTTCCTTGGAAATTTCATGAATATCAATAGTGCTATAATGAAATGTTTGATTTCTGGCTCTTGTTTGACTGTAGAGTTTTTAAAAATACCAGTCTGAGATACTCGACATTTGTACATTCTAAAGTTTGAAAGGCGACAGTAATACATCAATGTAAAGCATCTGGTTTATCCCATAAAGTAAGCCCCAATAATTCAGTGACAAGCCAACACAAAATATGTTTGTCCTATAATTTCATGAAATATGCGAACTAATCTGAATAGTCATTTGCTAAAAAATAAACTGTATTTGACTACTCTTATCATAGGTTCGTAACTCTGGAATTCAAGTGAACATTGTATTATCTGAGTTGAATCTTTACCCAATTTATGAAGATGTCGCTTATGAAGGTGCTAATGACATCATTCTAAATGCACTACCAGGAACGTATGCTTTCAGACAAAAAAAACCTTTACTGAGGATTGCCAACAATTTCTGTAGGTTAGTTTGAGTACATTTCAAATTACATTTGTCATTATTATCATTGAGCGATGTCATTGACTATTAATGTTTAATGATTTTATTCTTTTTTTGGAGAATATGAAGTATTAATATGGTTTATCATTGGTAATCTTTCTTTAGTATCCCATTTGCTATTTAATCTATAAAGTCATTCTGAGATAGATGTAGTTAAGTAGACTCCTATTTATGAAATGGAATGGTGGTTGAAATTGAAGTCCAAATCATTGATGGTTTTGAAACAGAAACTTGCAGGTAAAAGACAGCTTTGAACTTACTGGGTTAAGAAACTCAGCTGTTACCTCTCTATTTATTCGCACTACTTCACTTAACAAAACATTTGTCATAAACAATCTACTTTTAGTTATTTAGATGTGACAATAAGTTGAATTTGGAATTCTAAGTGGCCTTACAAACACGTTCAGTAACCAGAATCCAGATATCAGAATATAACTTTGAAGTAGATATTTCACTTAATAGTAGTTCGGCAAGAAATAGGGAAACTTTCGTCTTATTTTAGAAACAATTATCATTATACATTTTAGGCACGAAGCCCAAATTACTGACTGAATTTGGTGAGAACTCAGAGCTAAATAGCGTGAGACTGGTTACTCTCCAGCTTCTAACCAAGGCATGTGATCCAGTCTAATAGGAGGTTATGCGCGTCTCTAATAGCTCGGTGGTGATGTTGCTGACTACAGAAGCACTACGGGGACATCAATTCCACGGATTTTGCAGAAATGCCTCCCTAAAAAGTCCCAACAAGATTAAAATATAGGTCCAGAGGTTCCTAATATTCAGTCGCACTAAACTGTCCCCTTACCGTTGCATTCAACATTCAACACCTCAAAAGAAATTTTGAAGCATGTGATAATTTATACCGAAGCTGATGTAACCAAATCATTGGTTTCACTTCATTTTGAAAAGAATGCTTTCAGGTTTTCGCGTTTGCTATGTATCTGTTTCATAGTGGTCGTCAGAATCCTCATATATATTTACTAGAGACTCATTTATTACGATCGACTACATCAGATAACAGTTTGAGAGAGCCCTATTTTTACCACCATTTCGAACTAATATGTAAATACCGTTGTGGTTAGAGTCTGAGATATGCACAGACATTAAATTAAATTGTGTTCATTGTAAGCTAGATAGCGAAACAAAATTGCTGTAGAGCGGTTTTGTGAGTAATAAGGTTAACTCAAATTTTCATCGCAATGTCTTAACTTTTAGTGTTACAAAATAGCGTATACTGTGATGATGGCTACTTTATAAAGAGAATAGTGTCGTAAAAAACCTTTGTTTCCACAAGAAATTGAAATTTGCGCGTTTTCAACTCTGTGGTTCAAAAAAACAATACCTTTTGTTCATTTACTCTATTTACTGACTAAGCAGGAGCAAGTACTGAAGATATCATTCTTTTTTATATTCAAAAGATCACATTCTACAGGCAGTAAATGATATTTTATGAATTGAACTATTAAAAACAGACATTTGCTAATAATACGAAAAGTAAATACTCTATTAATTAGATCACATGTACGGTACAGGTTACAGCGCCATAATATTGTTCCCTTGGAAGGCATATTGTAATTTTTATCACCTAATACTGTTAGAATGATGAAGATATCATGAAACACATAACCATTATTGCAATGGGTACAGCGAAGAAAAGAAAATTTCAGCTACTTTTTTAGTTGATCACCTTAAACGATTCCAAGAGGGATGTTCCTCATAAGTTACCTCGAAGTGTGGGTATCAACTCAAATCTATCTGCTGAAGTACGTACATGTGGAGAACAGAAAAATGGCTTACCTCTGATATTTTCTTACACTTCGCGAAAAGCTTACGATCAAGAGGAGCTATAGTAGAGTTACTAAGCATCTAATGCACACAATACATCAAGCAGACACCTTGGAATCGTTCAAAGCAATCGATCAACAAAAACTCACTAGTACCCGCTCGTGTCGATATTATGTACAAAGTGGCAATAAAGACACAATATGACCCGAATCCCTAAATTTTCTATTTGCAATACTTTAGGCTAATTACATTAACAAAATGCATGAGTTTATAATTTTTGGATACTAATGAAATCGCCATATCATGTACTGAGTCCAGATGAGGCTTTACCTCAGAGCTGGTGCACAATGCAAAACTGTCTCACTTCCCGATCTAGAGCATGAAGAATGCTAAAATTCATTTGTCAGAAAGTCTTTTATAAGCAAACAACCTCCCGCAAATATACTCAACATAATTTTGTAGAGATGTTTATTGTATCTGGTTAACCCAGATATTTTCTATTCTGTCTACTAATAAAGAATGTATAACTTCGGACTCTAAGCATCTCGCAAGCGGATTTATTTTTTAGAGACATTCCAGAGTATTTAAAAACATTCAGACCAAGTGTTTCGAGTAACTAGCCTAGAGTAGAATATTGTTGGGCTGGTTTCTTCTGTCAGAAGTAATTTACAATTTTTGAGTTGACATTATATCTCCAGTTTCGCTTTATACTTTCCTAACTTACAGCATCAAAAAACAAATCTTCAGTGAGTACTTTTTACCAACAACCTATAAATTAATTTCCCACGAAATGCCTAATAGCTAGAAAATGCAACTTAAGACAACGGTGAAAGTGTTCAACACAAGGTTTCAGTGATGAAGGACAACTTCAGGGACCAAATAATAGGACCTAGAGCTCTATTAAAATCACACATTACTAGATCATTTCGAGATATAAATGTTTTAAGGCATCTAATTTTTTTTTACAAACGCAATGAAAATTTTGAATATTTTACTGTCAAAAACATAATTTCCAACTGTGAAAAAATTAGCTGTTCAGTAAGTATGCCTACCAGATTAAAAGAATTACGTTGTGACGTAATTCAGTCTAGGGGTTTGTGAGGACCTAATGATTTCAAGTAGGTGTCCACCACGAAATGACATCAGCTGATGAACATCCGAAAGCCTACGAGCAATGATCGACTGTTTCGTTCTGGTTAAAGTCTTCTCAGCAGTACGCACTCACAACCTCGCCAAGAATCGAACATAGGACCTTCAGATTTCGCCATGAGCATGGAGCCATTGAATCAATGAGTCCGGACTCAATATTTCATATTTTTCTACTTCTGTCAGTTGGCTATATGGTGCGACCTTCGTTAAATGCTATTGTTGAGTATTTTTCCTCACTTTCAACTTGGTTTACCAATCCTGTCACGACTCCTCATGAAGACTCTGTTAAATCTTGTCTTGAATTAAGTCGCTTATGAAAACTAGACGGCAATTCACTGCGGAGGTTTGTGTACAATTACTGGTTTCAAGTTGCAAAATAGTTGAAGTTACCTCCTGTTTAGCCAGTGATTGATAAAATGCAACTTAGAATAAGTTGACTCAGGCTTTTTTCCCAATATGCTTGCTAGGAAGCTTGAAACGATTCTATCCATCTTACTAGAAAAATCGTTATACCAGGCCAAAGTTATTGTTCTTGTTAGTTTTTATCACTTGTCCATCAGACTTTTTGTTGATATTACCTAGTATGATATAGCTGTAACCGAATGACTTCTATGAGGTTCAGGGACTTATCGATGAGTCACATATCTCATGTAGGTGTTGATGCAAAATTTTATGATAAGTACTGACTGACCTGGCTGGTGCCTCCTCTTTCGTACTGATGACGTGTTTTTTGAGTATCTCATAAACCACTCAGATCAATTACAAATCCTGCGAATGTCTGCTTTTGACAATTCAGCCAAAAATGTTGCACTAACGGAGAATAGTATTAAATACTGAGTGGTCACCAGAGTACATGAATATTTAAGTTGGATTGTTCTATAGGAGTTCATCAGGGTGATATTCATTGAAGAAGAGTGCGTGGACTAATGATTTAAAAATCTTCCACGTGTTACTCACTAAAATCTGTTTCAGGATTAACAACTTCCGGAGGACTCAGTATTATACACTCGAAGTATGCTGATGCTAACGTTTATTTACACAGGCATATTTTTCATGTGTTCAATACGCCAAGCATTCTTAATATGATTATGATTGTTCTCAGTGAACCCTACGGCTTACAATTTTGTAGCAGTAATCTTTCATTTGTTAACATAAACATATTTTGAAAAAAAACTTGTTACTGTTTTATCTTATAAGCAATTCTTTTCTCAAAAATTTCTTCAGCGTTTATCCAAATAAAATATCAGTCAGTTTTCTAGGCAACTCATTAGTTAAATAATCACTTGAAGGGTATTTACACAATGTTTTACGTCTTTTCTACGATACTTCCTTTTTGCTATCTGACAAAAAAATGAAAAGATCTCGATTAAGTTGGCGATGTCTATCATCACGAGCGATGTTTGTATTATCCACTCTGTGTTTAGTTCATAATAAGTGAATGCAGAAAAAAAATGTTCAAATGTGGGTTGTCTGATAATTCAGTGTCTTGTGTGTGAAAATGAGTCTCAGTTGTGGAAATTAAAAGGAAGATTGTTGAAGCATCTGATACCTATGCAACCAATAACAACGCTCTTTTCCAACCTGTGCACATTACTCCTTCTGTTGAATATTTTTGAACAATCAGGTTTTTAGATGACTTCCTAATAAACTAAGACTTTGAGTAGCATCACAGTATTTGAGAATGGTTAATAGACAACATAATATGCTCTCTTGATTCGTAAAGTTTTGAAATAGATCTTACACATGTATATGGAAAACTTATAATTCTGATGTGGCGATAAACGCTATCAATAGATTCATAAATTTACTTTTGCTGACGTTCAACCAGTGAAAATACAAGAGTGTGATCTAAGAGTGATGTCACAATTCTTCCAAGATAAATAGAATGTAACTGGTGAAAATAGCTGGATCTTTGACTTGTACTACACCTTAAATAGGATGTGAGTAATATTTAAATTCTCTTAGTGGCTTTAGTAGATTGTTTGATTTCAAGCTAATATTCATTATCAACTTACACAATTTATAATACT